TGAGCTAGAAAGGATGGAAGCTTGAAAGATTGGGAAGGCTTTATGGAGAAGGTCAGTGTGGAAACTGGCTCTTAAAGGAGAAAAATAAAGGGCAAAACATTCAAACGGAACCTACCAAAGACCCATGCAAACATGGACAGAAATGAAGAGATGATTTTTACCCCTGGGTTTCTTTTCAATAGCAGACAAAATACCACATCACCAAATCTAGCTGCTGAAGCTAGCAGGAGAACAATGCTTATTTCTATATATATCTATATGCGTGAGCTCAGAAAACAATACGAGACATATGGAGAGTGGGGAAAAGAGAGTGAATTCATTATTACAGCTCTGAGGGAAAAATAATACTTTCATTCCCATGAATGTTCTTTTTACCATTCTTGTTCTTTCAGTGAAAGAGAAGTTAAATTGTACATTTCCAACAACTCACAAGCCAATGCTTTTTAGGTAATTAAGGCAAAAAAATTGATTTATTTTTTTCCATTACGCCAGGTTCCATTAAGCAGTTTGCTCAAAAAGAGCCTGAAAGTTCACTGAATGAGAATACACAGTTGTATTATATCAACGGGCATAATCGTGGTAAATCTCAGTACTGTGCAAATAAATATAGCCACCAGTGCCACTAAGGACTGCAGAACAAAGAGCCACGGAACGGAGAACTAGGAGAGAAACATACTATATTAGTGGGGGAGAAAAACACCTATTTAATTGTGTAACGATGGGCAAGACACAGTTTCTGCAATGTAAAAATAATGTATTTTAAATAACTAACAAGTTTTCTTCTACTAGTAATTGAGGAATCAGGTAATAAGAAATCTAAACTTCGGTAACTCATGTTCAAAGACAATACAGTTGGGAGAAGAAGTCAGAACTAAAAGATGTTATTAGAAAACTCCACGTATAAGACAGACACTCAGTGTAAAAGAACAGCATAACAGATGCACAGAGAATTAGAACTACCCCTTTCTCTAGGTTACCTTGTTGACACGTTATTTCTTTCTTAACATACATCTGTTTGGCAAGAAAGTAAATGCCTAAGTTTAAGATGCAAGTAAATACACACCTTTTAAAACTACTTGTCAAGTACTATTTCTAATTCACAAAATGAAGGTCCTTAAGACCTGGTTACCCTAGGTACAAAAGAAAGGACCTGTATCACATTTCTCTAAGTTTCTCTAAAAACATAAGCCATATCACAATACGATTTATCTAGTTAAAATCTTAAAATTGCCTTCTAAGCATGAACTTTACCAAAATGCCACACAGCTCCCTTTTTCCTCCATATTGAAACTTTGAGGAAAATAGCTCGGTTTTAGAATTCAGAAAGTGGTATGGGGGCTAGGTAGATAGTTCAGTGAAATAAGTGCTTGCCTGGCAAACTCAAGGTCCTGAGTTCGATTCCTGGTACCACAAAAAAAAGAAAAAATAAAGTGGTGTGGATCATAGTGACATTTTTCAAGTTTTTAAGTTTTATGCTAAAGCAACATTATTTCTTTTAACAACATCTAAATGATAAATATGACAACAAATAAAATTACTTCCTAACACAATAACAACTTCTCAGATGACTTAATGTGGCATGTGATCCCAAGTCATGAGTGTGAAATAAAATGATAAATTGAAGTGTCAGCCTGAAGAAAAGAATTTAAATATTTTTTGATTATTAGTGGTGAACATGTAGAAATTTCCTAAACTTTGCATTACGTAAATACTACCATTAGAATAACAAACATCAATTGGATATTACATTCTAAAAGCCCTTACGATAGAGCAGCCCTGCATGGTTGTTTTTTTAGCAGTGTAGTTGAAGAGGGTAATCAACAACTACAACAGTGAAAGGGGAATAGGGGAGGTGACAGTTAAGAGGCTAAACAGGGCCCTGTGAAAGTCAATGTATATATTCTAAAAGAAAGGATGGGATGGAGGAACAGAAATATTTCTGGCATTCTCCCTCCAGTCCATTTTTAACATTGTGTTTTTGGCGTTTTCTATTTTAATAATAAACGAAATGGCCTTAACACATTTTAAAGCACTAATTTTTCTAGTAGAGTAAATAATGTGCAAAATAATCATGGTCAAATTATAGTCTAATAACATATTTGATATTTCAGGAAAACAAAAATGAGTGAAAGTAATATAAACATAGACCCACATCTCTTTTCCCTCTTCAGATCAAAAAACCAAGTAGAAAACTACTTAAAACGATGTAAGAAGTAGCAAGCAGTTCTCCCAGTCTTCACTGACAATGCTCTTGGTTATTTCTTCTTACAAAGATAACATTTCTATAACCAATTGATAACCATTGTTTAGGATTGCATTTTTACCTCTATTATTAATAATTGATGAACCTTAGCTTCATTAAAAATAATGACCAGAGAAAAAGGGCTCAGAAAGATACTGCAACATTCTTGCAGAAAGAGCTTGATATTAACTAAAACCATTGCAGATTTTCTAGAAAGTTTGTACTTTACACTTCATCCTCTAAAACTGCAGCATAAAAGATAAAGCCAGACACTGGCTTTTGATGAGTATTTTCTATTCTTAAATAATGCTGCACAGACATAATACATCCAAAGATAAGACAGCAAAAAGAGGGTTTTTTTTAAAAAAAAAAAAACTCTATTTCTCCAGGAAATTAAAATGCACTATAAATATATTTTGCTGAAAACCTAAGACATTTTCCAAAGAAACCCTATTATATCGTACAAAGTATATGTTGAAAGTCAACAATTTTTGATTAAATCAACATTTCTACACCTTAGAACTATAACTGTTCTATTCTGTCAAAATCATTAGTTTCTAAACTTAAAATGTCCCACCTCAGTGAAACATAAATTAAAAGTAACTTCCATTTTGCTTCAAAGTTCTGTGAAAATATATATATTAAATCCATGTGATCCACTTACCTATACAATATGTTGTACTAAATTCATAACTTAAAATTTATTCAGGCATTATGATCCAGTTTCTTAAATCATTTCAGAAAGCTTATAAACATTACACAGGAAAATCTGTCACTAATGACCAACATTTCTTCATTTTCCCTTAAATTTCAAAATAAAATAAAATTATTAGTCATTTCAGGAAACAAATGTTTAATAGTAACTTTTCAAGTCTAGAACAGAACTTTCAACTAGGTTAAATGAGCAGCTCATTAACATTCATCGTAATAATACCTACACTCATCTAGACAGTAGATAACATTACAATGACTCACAGAGTTCTCACAAAACATACTGCAGTATCCACCAAAATTTTAAAAGTGTGTATCTTTTTAATACCTCTTCACACTTATTTCTCAAAATAGTCTTTTTTTTTTAATTCAGTTGTACTAACTTTAAGTTGTGATAGGCTTTCCCTAACTACTTGTCCTATAATGATTTCAAATGTCACAAAGAAGAAGACCAAATAAACACTGCCTCTTTGATAAAGAATAACCACCTACAGTCCTAAAGAGTTACCCATCTTCTTCAGAACCTGTCATAAAGTTACCAACTGGACAAAAAGGAAATAAAGGCCATAGGATATGGATTTCAATAATTCATTTTTAATATATCAGTAGGTCTTCAAAAATATATGAGACTAAATCAAAATCAAGCAATCCATTTTACTTCATCTTAATTTCTTAATTAACTTAGCCAAAAATTCCTCACATAAAACACTGCATTAGTTGACCATATGACAACGTAAGTAATTTTGCTCAACACCGTATGTCTAATAAAATTAAGTTGATTTTAACCACAATACCATTTCAAGAAGTCCATTAAATTATCCAGGAACACAAAATTTTAAAAGCAGCCTTGGGAATAACTTTTTTCCTACAGCCATGACTAAATCCTTATTGTGCTGATCACTTATGCAGGAAAAAGTAGCAGACAGCTGAAGAAAGGCACTAACATCACCCCTGTTTTATCTAAGAACTCATAAAAGTAGAAGAGTCTAACCATTTTATTTTATTAAGTTCACTAATATGAAATATGCTGCTACTTTTCTGCAGTTTGATTAATATCATTATTTTGACACCTTTCCTTAATTCTATCATCTTTAAAGAAGCTTAATTCTAGCTCTAAAAGTTCATTTTTCTAAAAAAAAAGACATGAATTTGAAACACATCCCATTACTTCTAAAAGTTCATATGCCCAACTAAAATAAAGCACAAAAGGACTCTAAAAAGAAAAACACTATAATGCAAACAGCCCTTGGTGCCCATCAGTCTCACTAGATATTGTTCTATCTTGCTATCAAGTGCACTTAATGTGTGTGGAGTCTGCCTGATGGCATCTGCAGCTTCTAAAGAAATGTGGGAATGGCAAGTCAAATGCTTCTTTTCTTTTGAAGCTATTAACCTACAGTTTTAAACATGCTAATAGTTGATTTTGTAGAGTAATCAGTTTCAGCCCTTACACCTTAAAATGCATCCTGTCGGTCATAAAAAGTTATGTGTGTGTGTGTGTGTGTGTGCGCGCGCATATTTGTTACAAAACTGTTTGATATCTACATTTATCTTTTGTGATCTTGTAAAATAAGAATAGTGGTTAATAAAAGAAAAATGCATGTCCTAAATATCGATGGAAAAATAATATTTAAAGTATCCACGAAAACTTGTCCTTTGCAATGAGGCACTTTCTAGACATCTCAGTACACTGTACTTTGAACATATTCATATGTTAATTAGGGCATAAATTTTGTTCTTCCTTGTCATCATATTTCACATATTTGAGCATGTTTTTACTTTCAAGAATAAGAAAAACTCTTTTGTGTATTTAACTTTTAAACACCAATGATCAATATTTGCCTCTGACCACCACCAATACTTCATTCTCTTTGTCATACCTATTTCACAGATCAAAAAAGGTGCTTTTTTTTCAAATCATTTAATTCTTTTCCTGAATCCATTCAGGAAAGAGAAAACAATAGTTCCTTTACTGTGAAACCTCAACAGGCCCACCATCAACTCAGCCATATCCAAGCTCCACCCCACTGCCCTTCATGGCACCTACCCTAATGTTGTCATGGTGACGATGGTGTACCAAAACGCAGCAGGGATGCTGGTGAACTTGCTGGCCGAAGACCCCTTCTCTGCGTAGAACATAACCGTAGCAAAGATGATGATCGCCATGGTAAGCGAGAAAAGCAAGAAGCCCAATTCCGAGGCACAGCTCTTCAGGGTGTACCCCAGGATGCGCAGGCCTTGAGAGTGGCGGGAAAACTTAAAGATCCGGAAGACTCGGAAGACTCGGAGCGTGACGAAGGCTCCACTGACATCCTCGTTATCGGTCATCACCAGCCCAATGTAGTAGGGCAGGATGGCCACCACGTCGATGATGCTCATGACACTTCGCACGAAGCGGTAGCGACTAGGGGCCGCGGCCAGGCGCAGCAGGTACTCCACAGTGAAGATCATGACACAGGCGGTGTCCAGGCAGAAGAAGGCCACTGCGTACCGCTCTCCACACGGCAGCTCCTTGATGTGGCCGGGGCTGGAGCCACACGGCACAGTCTCCACCACATTGGCGATGACGGAGACGGCGATGAAGAAGCCAGTCACGTAGTAGAACACCAGGGCCATGGTGCTGGTGTGCGGGTTCTCGAAGGCGCGCCACACGCGCTGCCGCGCCGTCATGGTGGGCAGCGCGCTCTCGCCCGTGGTATCCGTGTCCGCGTCGTCCTGCAGGCGCTCGGCGTTCTCTCGCCGGCGGTCCTTGTACTCCTCATAGCAGCAGTCACCGATGATTTCCGGGATGAGGCCGAAGAAGGCCAGCTCCTCGTCATAGGCGGAGATGCACTCGTGGCGCGGGTAGTGCAGCTTTCCGGTGCGGTAGAAGTTGAGGATGTGGCGGAAGATGTCGGGGTCCCGGTCGAAGAAGTACTGCTGGGTCTCGGGGTGGTAGAAGAAGTCCCTTTCCGAGCTGCCCAGCAGCGTGTCGGGGTAGCGCTCCAGGGTGTCCTGCCACGTCTGGAACCGGGTGCCGCTCACGTTCAGCACGATGAGCGCGTCCTGAGTTCGTTTCCGCTCCTGCCTCGGCGGCGCGGGCATGGGCCCAGAGGCCACAGGCATCCACCCGATGGCCGCCGCCCTGGCGAAGGGCAGCCACGCCGCCACGCCGGCCGCCATGTTGCCGCCGCCGAGGCGCCCACCGGGCCGGCCCGAGGCTTGCTCGCTCTCTGCCTCTCACGTCGAACAAGACGTACAGGCCGGCGGGGGACCAGCTTTGTGCCTGGTCAGGCTTCCTGAGGAGGTCCTGGTGCCCAGAAGGGCAAATGTCCTCACAGAACAGTAGGGAAAAGCGCGAGGTGCTAGAGCAGAGCCCGACACCCCGGCAGCCTCTGCGGCCCGGCGCAGGCCGCCGCCGCCGGCGCACAGGATGCTGGGAGGCAGCCGTCGCTTCAAACAGGTGTCCGTGCCTGCTCCCCGCGCAGTCGGGGTGAGCCGGGGCCGTGTGCGCAGGGGGAGAGCAGTCACCAGTGGGCTTCCTCGGAGAACCAGGGAGAGCCTCTGCCTCCCCTCTCTTCCCTTTCAAACCTTCCCCTCCGAGGGCCCCTTCCCGCCAACGGAGCCTCAGACGGCGACCTGTTGTGGCTACGGGGCTGCGGTCGCGGCCGCTGCCCCACGTCCCCGCAAGTCCGGATGCGCGTCGCCTCCTCGGTGTTCGCGGACGCGGCGGAGCCGGCTGTGGGCACGGCGGGGGGCGCGATGCAGAGCCGCCTCCCCGTCTGCCGGTACCTCAGCGTCTGCCACCGGCGTCGCCCGGTCGCCCCTTCACGCTCTCCGCAAGTTCAGCTCAGGTGCAGTGTGCCAGTCCCAGAGCCTATGAGCCGCCAGGCGCCGTCGCCGGGGCGGCAGCAGCATCTGCCGCGGCGCAGCACGCGCCTCGCCCGCGGAACCTACCTGGCCAAGTGCGCGCCCGGCTGAGTTGCACAGAGACTTTCTCCTCGCCGTGCACCCGGAAAAGGAAAAGGCGAGACGGCAGCTCGCGCGCCGCGGGCTCCGAGGCGCCGCCGCCGCGGGAGCATAAATAAAGCTCGGGCGAGCTCCTCGTCCCCTTCCCCCACCCCTCCGTGCCTTCCCTCCGCCTTTTCACCTTCCAAAAGCCGGGCGCTGGCGAGCCGAGCGACAGCAACAAGTTCAAAAGGTGCGGGGGAGGCGAGAGCCCGGGGCGCTCCTCCTGCCAACTTACTGCGCGGCCGCGGGGGCCGGGGCCGGGGCCGGGGCCGGGGCCGGCGCGGGCTCTCGTCCGAGCGCGGAGGCAGGAGGCGCTCGGCGGAGCGGGGGCGCGGGAGGGCTGCTCGCTGCTTCCCCGCCGCCAGTGGGTGGTCCTGCATCGCCCCGAGCTCCCCGCGCCGCTCTGCTTGTGCGATCAATAAATAAGGAGAAAATAAATAAATAACCGCGCGCACGCCCCGCCACGCAGGTTAGGAGAGGCGTCTCCTGCCTTTCCCTCGGCTTGACCTTTCTCCGCCTCCGCCCCCTCGGGCTGCTCTCGCTCCTCCCCAGCCACCCACCAGCCCCGGCGCCAAATGTCACCGAGGGACAGCATCCAGGTGGCTCTGCTCGGGGAGGAGAGCGAGCCCGGAGGAACAAAGGGAAGGGAGCCTCACGCGCTGGGCTGCGGTGGTTCGGTGGCGGCCAGGAGGAAGGGAACGATGCCTCGCCTCTGCCTCCCGAGTCCGGGTTCAAGGCGAGCGTGGGAAAGGGGGGAGGAAAAAACTCGAGAGAAGCTGGCGAGGAGGGTGAGCGGAGCGGAACGCGCAGGAATTGGTTGTCTTCTGGGGACGACTAGGTCGCAAGACCTGCAAAGCTCCGCGGCGGAATTTTTAAGAGCTTCCCCCTCTTTCTTTTCTTTCTTTTTATTTATTTTTCTAACACAGATGTTAACATTGCCGAGGTGACTATGTCATCTGCCTAACTTGATAAGAAGACAGGCAGTCTCCTCTGTCCAGCTCTGTCACAACTCCTTTCCCTGTCCTTATCGAATGACAGGAGGATTTAGAACCCTTTTCTAAATGTCAGCGTCAGGGGGCGTGCGTCTCTGAGAGTGCCCGCACCCTGCCTCCTTTCTGCGCACCTCTGCGCATATCTAAAACGGTTAAAATAGTTAAAGGTGTCCTTCGAGGGGTAGGCGATGTGGAGAGAGTGACGGAAAAATTGTCGCGGCCAACCGTTTTGATTGTCCCCCCCCCTCCCCCGCCCCGTTATTAGGAATCTCCTTTAAAACGAAGCACATAACATTTACAACCACTAGATGGCGTGGATGGCGAGAAGTTAAATCTAAACCAAAGGTTTGGCTCTTCTAGAGGTGAAAGATCAAAAAATTAATTGATCCAACAGAAAATCAGATCACATAAGCATCCTCAGGACCCTGCTGCCACCCACCTCTTTAAGGTTTATATTACATGCACTATGCAGAGTTGAACCTGCATTTTGATGGATGTGAGATGTTAGGTGGAGAGTTTCCCCTTAAATGCCTTTGAAAATTAATCTAGATTATTGAATCAGTGGCAGTGTAATTAATACTTTTGGAAAAAATGAGGATACTTATGTGTTGATTGAGAATGTAAATCTAATTTAGTTTTCAAGTGTCTTAGTTTGTCTGCCCTTGATTTGTGGACTCAGTATTATACAGAAATTAACTTCGAAGCCCTCGAGATCAGAGACCTGATGTGTCGACCTCAAAATTTGTAAATTCCTGAGTTCGAGTACCTACTGGTACAAAAAAAGGAAGGTAAGAGGGAAGAAAGGAAGGAAGATAGTACATAGAAAAATAATGGAGAAAATAACAGACATTACAATCTACAGAATTTTCTTTAGAAAGGAGAAAGGTAGCTTGTTTTTTGTTGTTGCTTATTTTATGTTTGTTTGTTTGTTTGTTTGTTTGTGGGGGTTTTAGCCTATAGGTGTACATGTTTAAGAAAGCCAGTGTTGATTAATAAAGTTGAATCTAATGCACTGCGTTATATGAGGACACAAAACTGGAGACACTTGCTATTTGTATTACTGAGTGCAAGTTCTATGTTCAACAAATCTATATAGCCTGTATACGGAAAAGGAAAAACATGCTGACTGGCGAATAGAAAAAAGGGGATAACTTACCACACATGTAACCAAATGAAGCTGTTCCTAAGCCAGAGACATAGGTGGCACATGGCAGGGCTGAGCCTGCGCTTAGAGACCAGAATGCTGAATTAATGTCAGCACCAGCATGTCCTGGGAAGATGGGTCAAGCAGCCTCCAAACTAAAATTCTTCCCTAGGCAGCTGAATACTTAAACATATAGAAATAGGAGTATAATGCCACAAAAATTCCCAAATAACAAAGAATATAATGTCTACAATTTTATAAAGGTTTTATCTACCTTCCCACCATCCTAACAAGCTGCTTTGTTGTAGTAGAAAAATGTGTACTTAGAATTAACACACGTCTAAATTCAAATTCTAGCTCCCCAAATTATGTATTGGCTTTTTTCACTTAGCAAATAATTTCTATCACTGGAAATTGCAGATAATGAAACAAAACTGCTTCAAGCCTTTTGTAAGGATTAAACAGGATGATTCTTCAGAACACCAATGTACTACTGAGCACATTGAGGGGACTCAATATTCCTTTTTTGATGTTTTGGTGCATAATATTAATGCAATTCATTTTCTCAGGCCTGCATATGGAATTCCCACAGATACTTATGTATACTTTTCTCTTGCCTTTTAAAAATTATCTTGTCCTGATATGCACATAAATGTAGTATTTTAATATTTAATCATGCTTTGAAGTATTATATACAGATGAGGTATTCAAAATCCAGCAGAACATCGTATATGCCTCCTGTGCCAAAGATTCCTACTCTTTCCTCTTGGCTTCTCATTTTATATGCTCTGCCTAGTTGATTGCATGGAAAACAAATTCAGTAAGATCAAAATTGAATTTGTCACTCTTGTTCTCCAGTAATCTACCCCTCCTGTTTTCTCTCCTGCTCAGCGAAGTCCAAGAAAGAAATCTGGTGATCATTCTGTTCTTTACTACCACCCTCCAGCAAACAAATGCATTTACCTAATGACCCTTGCTACCAATCTGTCTTTATACCTACAGTGACTTTTCTAAACCTATTTTGAAGTAATTGTAGATTCACGTGGAGTTTGTAGGAAATTCCTTCTACCTGTCATCTACTTTCCCCTAAAAGTAACATCTTGCATACAATAATTTAAGTGTAAAATCACAACCAGTGTAAAATTTAAGTGTAAAATTACACTGATACTCTCTCAGTCTATATTTGTAATCTGTATATATTCTTCAGTGAAATGTGTGTCTGTGTTGCCTTTTGGAACACTCTAGACTTCTGTAACAGAACACTATAAACCAAGTGGCTTTTAAACAGCAGATACTATATTTGCTTCTCACAGCCTGCCGGCTGAGAAATCCAACATGAAGGAGACAACAGCATCAGTGTTTGGAAGAGGCTTACTTTGTGGTTTGGAGATGGAACCTTCTAGGAGCACTGAACATGTTAGTAGGGGAAAACAGCTCTCTGAGGGATCTTTCATAAGAACATTGATCCCAATAATGGAGATCAACCCTTAGGACCTAATCACTTTCCAAAGGTCAAATCCTAATGTCACCTTGGTATTCAAATATTATCCCATGAATGGGTAGGTAGATTAAAATGTAGATAAAGAACATAGACCATATAGATTCCATCCACTAAACTTTTCCAAATTCTGCCAGTTTTACAAACAGTAATTTTTGTGTCTATAGTTATGATTTTATCACACATTATGTTTTTGTGACTTGGATCACAGTTAACATAAAGAATGTCACATCACTAGGATCACAGTTAATAGCCCCTGCAGCCTCTCTCCTCCCTTTTCCCATCAGCCACTAATCTATTCCCAATCTTTGTAATTTATTAATTCAAGAATATTATCTGAAAGGAATTATACAGTATAACATTTTTAATGCTACCTTGCCTAAGAAAACCCAAGGCTATCAAAAGAATTTGTTTCGGCCAACACCTGAAGATAGGGTTCCTGTCTCTCAGCTTCTAAGGGAAGGTGGGAGCCCAACTTCAATAGGCAGCAGCAGTAAACCCAAGTAGATTTCTCGTCAACCATTCTCTCTCCTGATTT